TCCAACCGGTCCGTTGGACCAACAGGCCAGTTGGTCCAACCGGCTCGTTGGACCAACAGGCCAGTTGGTCCAACCGGTCCATTGGACCAACAGGCCAGTTGGTCCAACCGGTCCATTCGACCAACAGGCCAGTTGGTCCAACCGGTCCATTGGACCAACAGGCCAGTTGGTCCAACCGGTCCCTTCGACCAACAGGTGAGTTGGTCCAACCGGTCCGTTGGACCAACAGGTCTGTAGGTCCAACCGGTCCGTTGGACCAACAGGTCTGTAGGTCCAACCGGTCCGTTGGACCAATAGGTGAGTTGGTCCAACCGGTCCGTTGGACCAACAGGTCTGTAGGTCCAAGCGGTCCGTTGGACCAACAGGTCTGTAGGTCCAACCGGTCCGTTGGACCAACAGGTCTGTAGGTCCAAGCGGTCCGTTGGACCAACAGGTCTGTAGGTCCAACCGGTCCGTTGGACCAACAGGCCAGTTGGTCCAACCGGTCCGTTGGACCAACAGGCCAGTTGGTCCAACCGGTCCGTTGGACCAACAGGCCAGTTGGTCCAACCGGTCCGTTGGACCAACAGGCCAGTTGGTCCAACCGGTCCGTTGGACCAACAGGCCAGTTGGTCCAACCGGTCCGTTGGACCAACAGGCCAGTTGGTCCAACCGGTCCGTTGGACCAACAGGCCAGTTGGTCCAACCGGTCCGTTGGACCAACAGGCCAGTTGGTCCAACCGGTCCGTTGGACCAACAGGCCAGTTGGTCCAACCGGTCCGTTGGACCAACAGGCCAGTTGGTCCAACCGGTCCGTTGGACCAACAGGCCAGTTGGTCCAACCGGTCCGTTGGACCAACAGGCCAGTTGGTCCAACCGGCCCGTTGGACCAACAGGTCTGTAGGTCCAACCGGTCCGTTGGACCAACAGGTCTGTAGGTCCAACCGGTCCGTTGGACCAACAGGTCTGTAGGTCCAACCGGTCCGTTGGACCAACTGGTCTGTAGGTCCAACCGGTCTGTTGGTCCAACCGGTCCGTTGGACCAACAGGCCAGTTGGTCCAACCGGTCCGTTGGACCAACAGGTGAGTTGGTCCAACCGGTCCGTTGGACCAACAGGCCAGTTGGTCCAACCGGTCCGTTGGACCAACAGGCCAGTTGGTCCAACCGGTCCGTTGGACCAACAGGCCAGTTGGTCCAACCGGTCCGTTGGACCAATAGGTGAGTTGGTCCAACCGGTCCGTTGGACCAACAGGTCAACCGGTCCATTGGACCAATAGGTGAGTTGGTCCAACCGGTCCGTTGGACCAATAGGTCAGTTGGTCCAACCGGTCGGTTGGACCAATAGGTCAGTTGGTCCAACCGGTCCGTTGGACCAATAGGTGAGTTGGTCCAACCGGTCCGTTGGACCAATAGGCCAGTTGGTCCAACCGGTCCGTTGGACCAATAGGCCAGTTGGTCCAACCGGTCCGTTGGACCAATAGGTGAGTTGGTCCAACCGGTCCGTTGGACCAATAGGCCAGTTGGTCCAACCGGTCCGTTGGACCAACAGGCCAGTTGGTCCAACCGGTCCGTTGGACCAATAGGTGAGTTGGTCCAACCGGTCCGTTGGACCAACAGGCCAGTTGGTCCAACCGGTCCGTTGGACCAACAGGCCAGTTGGTCCAACCGGTCCGTTGGACCAACAGGCCAGTTGGTCCAACCGGTCCGTTGGACCAACAGGCCAGTTGGTCCAACCGGTCCGTTGGACCAACAGGCCAGTTGGTCCAACCGGTCCGTTGGACCAACAGGCCAGTTGGTCCAACCGGTCCGTTGGACCAACAGGTGAGTTGGTCCAACCGGTCCGTTGGACCAACAGGCCAGTTGGTCCAACCGGTCCGTTGGACCAACAGGCCAGTTGGTCCAACCGGTCCGTTGGACCAACAGGTGAGTTGGTCCAACCGGTCCGTTGGACCAACAGGTGAGTTGGTCCAACCGGTCCGTTGGACCAACAGGCCAGTTGGTCCAACCGGTCCGTTGGACCAACAGGCCAGTTGGTCCAACCGGTCCGTTGGACCAACAGGCCAGTTGGTCCAACCGGTCCGTTGGACCAACAGGCCAGTTGGTCCAACCGGTCCGTTGGACCAACAGGCCAGTTGGTCCAACCGGTCCGTTGGACCAACAGGCCAGTTGGTCCAACCGGTCCGTTGGACCAACAGGCCAGTTGGTCCAACCGGTCCGTTGGACCAACAGGCCAGTTGGTCCAACCGGTCCGTTGGACCAACAGGCCAGTTGGTCCAACCGGTCCGTTGGACCAACAGGCCAGTTGGTCCAACCGGTCCGTTGGACCAACAGGCCAGTTGGTCCAACCGGTCCGTTGGACCAACAGGCCAGTTGGTCCAACCGGTCCGTTGGACCAACAGGCCAGTTGGTCCAACCGGTCCGTTGGACCAACAGGCCAGTTGGTCCAACCGGTCCGTTGGACCAACAGGCCAGTTGGTCCAACCGGTCCGTTGGACCAACAGGCCAGTTGGTCCAACCGGTCCGTTGGACCAATAGGTGAGTTGGTCCAACCGGTCCGTTGGACCAACAGGCCAGTTGGTCCAACCGGTCCGTTGGACCAACAGGCCAGTTGGTCCAACCGGTCCGTTGGACCAACAGGCCAGTTGGTCCAACCGGTCCGTTGGACCAACAGGCCAGTTGGTCCAACCGGTCCGTTGGACCAACAGGCCAGTTGGTCCAACCGGTCCGTTGGACCAACAGGCCAGTTGGTCCAACCGGTCCGTTGGACCAACAGGCCAGTTGGTCCAACCGGTCCGTTGGACCAACAGGCCAGTTGGTCCAACCGGTCCGTTGGACCAACAGGCCAGTTGGTCCAACCGGTCCGTTGGACCAACAGGCCAGTTGGTCCAACCGGTCCGTTGGACCAACAGGCCAGTTGGTCCAACCGGTCCGTTGGACCAACAGGCCAGTTGGTCCAACCGGTCCGTTGGACCAACAGGCCAGTTGGTCCAACCGGTCCGTTGGACCAACAGGCCAGTTGGTCCAACCGGTCCGTTGGACCAACAGGCCAGTTGGTCCAACCGGTCCGTTGGACCAACAGGCCAGTTGGTCCAACCGGTCCGTTGGACCAACAGGCCAGTTGGTCCAACCGGTCCGTTGGACCAACAGGCCAGTTGGTCCAACCGGTCGGATGGACCAACAGGCCAGTTAATCCAACCGGTCGGTCCATTGGACCAACAGGCCAGTTGATCCAACCGGTCCATTGGACCAACAGGCCAGTAGGTCCAACCGGTCCATTGGACCAATAGGTCAGTTGGTCCAACCGGTCCATTGGACCAATAGGTGAGTTGGTCCAACTGGTCCATTGGACCAATAGGTGAGTTGGTCCAACTGGTCCAACCGGTCCATTAGACCAATAGGCCAGTTGGTCCAACCGGTCCATTGGACCAATAGGTCAGTTGGTCCAACCGGTCCGTTGGACCAATAGGCCAGTTGGTCCAACCGGTCCGTTGGACCAATAGGCCAGTTGGTCCAACCGGTCCGTTGGACCAATAGGTGAGTTGGTCCAACCGGTCCGTTGGACCAATAGGTGAGTTGGTCCAACCGGTCCGTTGGACCAACAGGCCAGTTGATCCAACCGGTCCATTGGACCAACAGGTCAGTTGGTCCAACCGGTCGGTTGGACCAATAGGTCAGTTGGTCCAACTGGTCTATTGGATCAATAGGTGAGTTGGTCCAACTGGTCCATTGGACCAATAGGTCAGTTGGTCCAACCGGTCCGTTGGACCAACAGGCCAGTTGGTCCAACCGGTCCATTGGACCAATAGGTGAGTTGGTCCAACTGGTCGGTTGGACGAATAGGCCAGTTGGTCCAACAGGCGAGTTGGTCCAACCGGTCCATTGGACCAATAGGTGAGTTGGTCCAACCGGTCCATTGGACCAATAGGTCAGTTGGTCCAACCGGTCCATTGGACCAACAGGGCAGTTGGTCCAACCGGTCCATTGGACCAATAGGTGCGTTGGTCCAACCGGTCCATTGGACCAATAGGTGAGTTGGTCCAACCGTTCCATTGGACCAATAGGTGAGTTGGTCCAACCGGTCCATTGGACCAATAGGTGAGTTGGTCCAACCGGTCGGTTGGACCAATAGGCCAGTTAATCCAACCGGTCCATTGGACCAATAGGTCAGTTGGTCCAACCGGTCGGTTGGACCAATAGGTCAGTTGGTCCAACCGGTCCATTGGACCAATAGGTGAGTTGGTCCAACCGGTCCATTGGACCAATAGGTCAGTTGGTCCAACCGGTCCGTTGGACCAACAGGCCAGTTGGTCCATCCGGTCCATTGGACCAATAAATGAGTTGGTCCAACCGGTCCATTGGACCAATAGGTCAGTTGGTCCAACCAGTCCATTGGACCAATAGGTCAGTTGGTCCAACCGGTCCATTGGACCAATAGGTCAGTTGGTCCAACCGGTCCATTGGACCAATATGTCAGTTGGTCCAACCGGTCTATTGGACCAATAAGTCTGTTGGTCCAACCGGTCCATTGGACCAATAGGCGAGTTGGTCCAACCGGTCCATTGGACCAATAGGTCAGTTGGTCCAACCGGTCCATTGGACCAATAGGTCAGTTGGTCCAACCGGTCCATTGGCCAATAGGTGAGTTTGTCCAACCGGTCCATTGGACCAATAGGTGAGTTGGTCCAACCGGTCCATTGGACCAATAGGTCAGTTGGTCCAACTGGTCCATTGCATTACCAATAGGTCAGTTGGTCCAACCGGTCCGTTGGACCAATAGGTCAGTTGGTCCAACCGGTCCGTTGGACCAACAGGCCAGTTGGTCCAACCGGTCCGTTGGACCAATAGGTCAGTTGGTCCAACCGGTCCCTTGGATCAATAGGTCAGTTGGTCCAACCGGTCCATTGGACCAATAGGTCAGTTGGTCCAACCGGTCCATTGGACCAATAGGTCAGTTGGTCCAACCGGTCCATTGGACCAATAGGCCAGTTGGTCCAACCGGTCCGTTGGACCAATATGTGAGATGGTCCGACCGGTCCGTTGGACCAATAGGTGAGTTGGTCCAACCGGTCCGTTGGACCAATAGGTGAGTTGGTCCGACCGGTCCATTGGAACAATAGGTGAGTTGGTCCAACCGTTCCATTGGACCAATATGTGATTTGGACCAACCGGTCCATTGGACCAATAGCTTTCCATCACCCCGCCCCATTCTCCCTCTTTCCATCACCCCGCCCCATTCTCCCGCTTTCCATCACCCCGCCCCATTCTCCCGCTTTCCATCACCCGCCCCATTCTTCCGCTTTCCATCACCCCGCCCCATTCTCCCGCTTTCCATCACCCCGCCCCATTCTCCCGCTTTCCATCACCCCGCCCCATTCTCCCGCTTTCCATCACCCCGCCCCATTCTCCCGCTTTCCATCACCCCGCCCCATTCTCCCGCTTTCCATCACCCCGCCCCATTCTCCCGCTTTCCATCACCACGCCCCATTCTCCCGCTTTCCATCACCCCGCCCCATTCTCCCGCTTTCCATCACCCCGCCCCATTCTCCCGCATTCCATCACCCCGCCCCATTCTCCCGCTTTTCATCACCCCGCCCCATTCTCCCGCTTTCCATCACCCGCCCCATTCTCCCGCTTTCCATCACCCCGCCCCATTCTCCCGCTTTCCATCACCCTGCCCCATTCTCCCGCTTTCCATCACCCCGCCCCATTCTCCCGCTTTCCATCACCCCGCCCCATTCTCCCGCTTTCCATCACCCCGCCCCATTCTCCCGCTTTCCATCACCCCGCCCCATTCTCTCGCTTTCCATCACCCCGCCCCATTCTCCCGCTTTCCATCACCCCGCCCCATTCTCCCGCTTTCCATCACCCCGCCCCATTCTCCCGCTTTCCATCACCCCGCCCCATTCTCCCGCTTTCCATCACCCCGCCCCATTCTCCCGCTTTCCATCACCCGCCCCATTCTCCCGCTTTCCATCACCCGCCCCATTCTCCCGCTTTCCATCACCCCGCCCCATTCTCCCGCTTTCCATCACCCCGCCCCATTCTCCCGCTTTCCGTCACCCCGCCCCATTCTCCCGCTTTCCGTCACCCCGCCCCATTCTCCCGCTTTCCGTCACCCCGCCCCATTCTCCCGCTTTCCACCACCACGCCCCGTTCCCCCGCTTTCCAACATCCCGCCCCGTTCTCCCGCTTTCCATCACCCCGCCCCATTCTCCCGCTTTCCATCATCCCGCCCCATTCTCCCGCTTTCCATCACCCCGCCCCATTCTCCCGCTTTCCATCACCCCGCCCCCTTCTCCCGCTTTCCATCACCCCGCCCCCTTCTCCCGCTTTCCATCACCCCGCCCCATTCTCCCGCTTTCCATCACCCCGCCCCATTCTCCCGCTTTCCATCACCCCGCCCCATTCTCCCGCTTTCCATCACCCCGCCCCATTCTCCCGCTTTCCATCACCCCGCCCCATTCTCCCGCTTTCCATCACCCCGCCCCATTCTCCCGCTTTCCATCACCCCGCCCCATTCTCCCGCTTTCCATCACCCCGCCCCATTCTCCCGCTTTCCATCACCCCGCCCCATTCTCCCTTTCCATCACCCCGCCCCATTCTCCCGCTTTCCATCACCCCGCCCCATTCTCCCGCTTTCCATCACCCCGCCCCATTCTCCCGCTTTCCATCACCTCGCCCCATTCTCCCGCTTTCCATCACCCCGCCCCATTCTCCCGCTTTCCATCACCCCGCCCCATTCTCCCGCTTTCCATCACCCCGCCCCATTCTCCCGCTTTCCATCACCCCGCCCCATTCTCCCGCTTTCCATCACCCCGCCCCATTCTCCCGCTTTCCATCACCCCGCCCCATTCTCCCGCTTTCCATCACCCCTCCCCATTCTCCCGCTTTCCATCACCCCGCCCCATTCTCCCGCTTTCCATCACCCCGCCCCATTCTCCCGCTTTCCATCACCCCGCCCCATTCTCCCGCTTTCCATCACCCCGCCCCATTCTCCCGCTTTCCATCACCCCGCCCCATTCTCCCGCTTTCCATCACCCCGCCCCATTCTCCCGCTTTCCATCACCCCGCCCCATTCTCCCGCTTTCCATCACCCCGCCCCATTCTCCCGCTTTCCATCACCCCTCCCCATTCTCCCTTTCCATCACCCCGCCCCATTCTCCCGCTTTCCATCACCCCGCCCCATTCTCCCGCTTTCCATCGCCCCGCCCCATTCTCCCGCTTTCCATCGCCCCGCCCCATTCTCCCGCTTTCCATCGCCCCGCCCCATTCTCCCGCTTTCCATCGCCCCGCCCCATTCTCCCGCTTTCCATCGCCCCGCCCCATTCTCCCGCTTTCCATCACCCCGCCCCATTCTCCCGCTTTCCATCGCCCCGCCCCATTCTCCCGCTTTCCATCACCCCGCCCCATTCTCCCGCTTTCCATCGCCCCGCCCCATTCTCCCACTTTCCCTCACCCCGCCCCATTCTCCCGCTTTCCATCACCCCGCCCCATTCTCCCGCTTTCCATCACCCCGCCCCATTCTCCCGCTTTCCATCACCCCGCCCCATTCTCCCGCTTTCCATCACCCCGCCCCATTCTCCCGCTTTCCATCACCCCGCCCCATTCTCCCTTTCCATCACCCCGCCCCATTCTCCCGCTTTCCATCACCCCGCCCCATTCTCCCGCTTTCCATCACCCCGCCCCATTCTCCCGCTTTCCATCACCCCGCCCCATTCTCCCGCTTTCCATCACCCCGCCCCATTCTCCCTTTCCATCACCCCGCCCCATTCTCCCGCTTTCCATCACCCCGCCCCATTCTCCCGCTCTCCATCACCCCGCCCCATTCTCCCGCTTTCCATCACCCCGCCCCATTCTCCCGCTTTCCATCACCCCGCCCCATTCTCCCGCTTTCCATCACTCCGCCCCATTCTCCCTTTCCATCACCCCGCCCCATTCTCCCGCTTTCCATCACCCCGCCCCATTCTCCCGCTTTCCATCACCCCGCCCCATTCTCCCGCTTTCCATCACCCCGCCCCATTCTCCCGCTTTCCATCACCCCGCCCCATTCTCCCGCTTTCCATCACCCCGCCCCATTCTCCCGCTTTCCATCACCCCGCCCCATTCTCCCGCTTTCCATCACCCCGCCCCATTCTCCCGCTTTCCATCACCCCGCCCCATTCTCCCGCTTTCCATCACCCGCCCCATTCTCCCGCTTTCCATCACCCCGCCCCATTCTCCCGCTTTCCATCACCCCGCCCCATTCTCCCGCTTTCCATCACCTCGCCCCATTCTCCCGCTTTCCATCACCCCGCCCCATTCTCCCGCTTTCCATCACCCCGCCCCATTCTCCCGCTTTCCATCACCCCGCCCCATTCTCCCGCTTTCCATCACCCCGCCCCATTCTCCCTTTCCATCACCCCGCCCCATTCTCCCGCTTTCCATCACCCCGCCCCATTCTCCCGCTTTCCATCACCCCGCCCCATTCTCCCGCTTTCCATCACCCCGCCCCATTCTCCCGCTTTCCATCACCCCGCCCCATTCTCCCGCTTTCCATCACCCGCCCCATTCTCCCGTTTTCCATCACCCCGCCCCATTCTCCCGCTTTCCATCACCCCGCCCCATTCTCCCGCTTTCCATCACCCCGCCCCATTCTCCCGCTTTCCATCACCCCGCCCCATTCTCCCGCTTTCCATCACCCCGCCCCATTCTCCCGCTTTCCATCACCCCGCCCCATTCTCCCGCTTTCCATCACCCCGCCCCATTCTCCCGCTTTCCATCACCCCGCCCCATTCTCCCGCTTTCCATCACCCGCCCCATTCTCCCGTTTTCCATCACCCCGCCCCATTCTCCCGCTTTCCATCACCCCGCCCCATTCTCCCGCTTTCCATCACCCCGCCCCATTCTCCCGCTTTCCATCACCCCGCCCCATTCTCCCGCTTTCCATCACCCCGCCCCATTCTCCCGCTTTCCATCACCCCGCCCCATTCTCCCGCTTTCCATCACCCTGCCCCATTCTCCCGCTTTCTATCACCCCGCCCCATTCTCCCGCTTTCCATCACCCCGGCCCATTCTCCCGCTTTCCATCACCCCGCCCCATTCTCCCGCTTTCCGTCACCCCGCCCCATTCTCCCGCTTTCCATCACCCCGCCCCATTCTCCCGCTTTCCATCACCCCGCCCCATTCTCCCGCTTTCCATCACCCCGCCCCATTCTCCCGCTTTCCATCACCCCATTTCATTCTCCCGCTTTCCATCACCCCGCCCCATTCTCCCGCTTTCCATCACCCCGCCCCATTCTCCCGCTTTCCATCACCCCGCCCCATTCTCCCGCTTTCCATCACCCCGCCCCATTCTCCCGCTTTCCATCACCCCGCCCCATTCTCCCGCTTTCCATCACCCCTCCCCATTCTCCCGCTTTCCATCACCCCGCCCCATTCTCCCTTTCCATCACCCCGCCCCATTCTCCCGCTTTCCATCACCCCGCCCCATTCTCCCGCTTTCCATCACCCCGCCCCATTCTCCCGCTTTCCATCACCCCGCCCCATTCTCCCGCTTTCCATCACTCCGCCCCATTCTCCCGCTTTCCATCACCCCTCCCCATTCTCCCGCTTTCCATCACCCCGCCCCATTCTCCCGCTTTCCATCACCCCGCCCCATTCTCCCGCTTTCCATCACCCCGCCCCATTCTCCCGCTTTCCATCACCCGCCCCATTCTCCCGCTTTCCATCACCCCGCCCCATTCTCCCGCTTTCCATCACCCCGCCCCATTCTCCCTTTCCATCACCCCGCCCCATTCTCCCGCTTTCCATCACCCCGCTTAGGGTTTAGGGTTTAGGGTTTAGGGTTTTTAGGGTTTAGGGTTTAGGGTTTAGGGTTTAGGGTTTAGGGTTTAGGGTTTAGGGTTTAGGGTTTAGGGTTTAGGGTTTAGGGTTTAGGGTTTAGG